GAGTTACCTGTGCTATACAGAAGGTCTTGTTGGTTATCCATTTTAAATATTCATGCCCATTATACAGATGAGGACACTGAGGCACAGAGAGCTTTTTTTTTTTTTAAGCCTGCACACTTAGAAGCAAGGATTTGAATCCAGGCAGTAGGGTGTCAGATTATGCTTTTGTAATCATGGTGCTGTACCTTCTCATCCCTGTAACACAGAAGATTCTACTGTGTGTCACAAAGTGGTGCTTGAGCCCCTTGCCCACGTGTACATGCACACATAGCACCACTTAGGTGTGTACCATTCCCTATTTGGCTCCCATCCCAGAAAGTATCTGGAATAAAATGCCTCACTCTGGCTGCTTGTGGCCTATATCCTCCTTTTACTGGGACCAAGTGGCCCCAGGCCAAATTTTCCCAAATCTTCGTGCTTTCTCTTCTGCTATCAGAGCTCTTCTGCTGAAAGCATTTGCAACTCATTCTCACAAACACATAAGTGACTGAGAAGAGTGTAAAATACTACCCTATGCTGAACAGTCCTTAAAAGCCAGCCCTATGGATGCTTAGACTGGACCACACATCCTCTTGCTCTAACATCATAGCTCTCCAGTTATTGCAGAACAAAACCCAAACACTAGCATTCAAAGCACTGAATCCAAACCATCTGTTCAGCCTTATCTCCTACTGCATGCAACCAATATGTCCATTTTTAAAACACATAGTTCAAATAAATAGAACTACTTGTCCAGTGTAGCAAGGAAGTGCACAAGAGAGAGAACTTTGGGAGTTTTCAGAGGAAAAGTGTCCTCAGAGATGGAGAGTGGTGCTGAGAAGTGTTGGCAGAGGGTGTGCTTGGCGAGAAGGACATGGGCTGTGAGAAAGATGGGGAGGTGGAGGCAAAGGAGGCTTATCTTTCTCTCCACGTGTCCTGTACTCCAAGGCTGGAAACTAGACGTGATGGTGATGATAACAATGGTGATGATGAAAGTAAGAGAGCTCATGTTTATAGTCAGTGAAACATCCAGACACTGTTCTGAGCATGTAGGTATATTGATGCATTTGATCCGCACCATAACACTGTAAGGTAAGCTACTAGTGTCATTTTACAGATGAGGAAACTGAGATCCGTGTGGGTAATATATTCAACTCCTCTGGCTCCTCCGATCAGCTCTGGTCTCTGCTAGAGCCCCATTTGACTCTCCCCCTCTCCCAACTCATCTCTTTCTTTCTTTCTCAGTCAACGTTTCGTATCTGGGCCTCCCCCCTCTACCTCCCGTTTCCTGGCTTCTTTCTGGGTCTGTCTGCCGGCCCTCCCCTCATCTGTTGAGTTCGTACACACTCTTCCCGCTCCAATCATTCATCATCCATCAAAAGACTAACAGGGAAACTGGCGCTGTGACCAAGCTCTGTGCCATCAATAACATGCTGATGTCTCACCCTGGAGGAGGCACAGAGATGCCTGGGGCCGGGGGAGTCAGGGTGGGAGGGAAGAGTCCAGGTGGGCCGAGGGGATCTTCCTTCATCCTGTTTGCCCTGAATGGGTTTTGGTGTGAAAGAGACATAGATTCACCCTCAGCTCTCCAGGAAAGTTCTGGAAAACCATCTGGATCTGGATTCCTTACAATCCAGCTCTGCTTCTGGATGCCTCCCAGACTGTGATAGGAAGACACCGGGTCCATCAAGTTCCAGGTCCAGGCCTTCTCAGGGTGAGAGCTGGGAAGCGGGGACAGCCCCGGAGGGCTGCAGCAGGAGGGAGCAGGCAGCAGAGCCCGGAGGAGTCATGAGTCTGATACAAAGAGAGATTCCACCGGGGAGCTGGAGGAGTCACTGGGGGCGGGCGGCTTCATTCCTGCCCACTGCACTTTAGACCCACTTCTTTCCTCTGGAGGGCCGGGCATGTGTGTCTACCGGTGACGGGGTGGCCAAAATAGTTCTTCTATACACCTGGAAGGGCGGAGGCTGTGCTTGGAAGTCACTGCTGTGCTGATGGACTGATGTGAAGGTGTGTGGATTGCTCACCCTTCTGTCTTGTCAGTGGATTTTTTTTATCATCTGCATTAGGCTCTCCTAGAATAGTCAAAGGCTTCCCAGGTGGTGCTAGTGGTAAAGAACCCGCCTGCCAATGCAGGAGATGTAAGAGACACGAGTTTGATCCCTGAGTTGGGAAGATCCCCTACAGGAGGGCATGGCGACCCACTCTAGTATTCTTGCCTGGAGAATCCCATGGACAGAGGAGCCTGGTGGGCTATATAGTCCATGGGGTCACAAAGAGTCGGACATGACTGAAGTGACTTAGAGAGCACGTACACACACACACACACACACACACACACCCCATGGCCAAATTGGCAGAGAAAAATTTCAAATCAGCCCAAAGACTTTGCACACGGGCAACCAGGGTCAGATCCCAGGCCTTGGTAAATTAGTGGGTCCAGCAGGCATGGGTCAAATAAACATCCTACAAACATGAAGCTGGTTAATGGACATCTTCCAGATAAGGAATATACTTTTGAACTGTGCCTTTTACTGACTCTCAAAGATCGGAAATTCTGACAGGAACAGACTGTGGCACAAAGTAGAAATATAGCACACACGTATGCAGAAATCAGATTTTGATGAAATCCAAGGGCAGGGGATGGGATTTTAATTCTTTTTGTGGTAATAACTCCAGTAGGAGGTGGGGAGTCTTCCAGGTTTCTGGACCTCTGGGCTCAGGATTTGTCCTGTGATTCTAATTCATTTTCTTTGATTTCCTCTGTGTAAGCTGGAATGCTCTGGGAGGACTTCTTTAGGACCACATGAAAGCTTCAAGAGATCTATAAATAGAGCTTAAAATCCCAGATTGTTTTCCCACAGTTTGGTTCTGAACATTGAGATGGCTAAGTGAGGAGGCAGGGCCAGAGTAGAGAGGACTTGTCCCTCCCTCCCCAACCGACCCCTCCCCACCCCAGGCACGTTGACTGCCATTGCCTTTGCTATCAGGACTTCTGAATCCTGGAGAATAAAGCTCCTCTCCCTTCCCAGCTCCCACAGAGCATGGCATGATGAGGGGGTTGTGGAGTGGGGTGTTGGTGGGGGTGGGAGAGCTTTCCACCAGCCCCCAAATTGCCCCCTCCTGGGCCCCTCACCCCTTGGGTAGTTGAGTACTAGGGAGAAATTGAAGAATTCTAACAGCCCAGTCTGTAAAATGTGTTGGGGGCCTACTTTTTTCTGTTTTTGGTTGTTTTTTTTTAGGTTATTGGGGTATGAAGTACAATACCATTTTCCCTCCATGTTTTCCCAGCTTTATTGACATACAACCTATGCAAGTTTAAAGTGTGCAATGTGATGATTTGAAATGTAAATATATTGGAAAATGATTTCCACAATGAAAAGTGAAAGTGCTAGTCACTCAGTCGTGTCCAACTCTTTGTGACTCCATGGACTGTAGCCCACCAGGCTCCTCTGTCTATGGGATTCTCCAGGCAAGAATACTGGAGTGGGTTGCCATTTCCTTCTCCAGGTGATCTTCCTGACCCAGGGATTGAACCTCATCCCTGCAATGCAGGCTCAGATTCCTGTCTGAGCCTCCAGGGAAGTTTCCACAATAATGTTAGTTAATACCTCTATCCCCCCACATAATGAGAATTTTTCACAACGATAAAATTTAAGTTCTACTCTTTTAAAAAATTTCAAGTATATAATACAGTATTATTAATTATTGTCACTGTGTTTTACATTAGATTCCCAGAACTTGTTCATTTTATAGGTAGAAGTTTATGTCCTTTGATCAATATTTCCCCATTTCTCCCACTCCCCAGCCTCTAGCAACCACCATTTTATTCTTTATTTCTATGAGTTTCTATGAGTCTGGGAATCTTCTGTCAGTAAGAAATTTCTTCCTTCGTGGGGAATCCCAAATTTATTCAGAAGTCCTTCACTTGGGGCATCTCTACCAATGGAGAAATTTTGGAGAGAAATTGATACTCAAGGAAAACCCCTTTGTTGGTTTCCTGGTGGATAGTCGTGGAGGCTGGGCTGGATAAACTGGGGACTGAACTGTGAGGGGGTGGAGAGAGGCTTCTGGATGGAAGAGGTCAGGGCTCCTGGAGTTCAGTCCAAAGGTTGGAAGGTCATTTACTACTTCCAATACAATGGTAACACGCTTTAAGAAACTGAATGGGGAAGCAGGATAGATTAACTTGGTGGAGACTGAAAAGACTCCGTAAGACTTTTTTTTTTTTTTTAGGAATAAATAACTTTATTTATTAGTTTGCTTATTAGGCTTATTATTTGTAGCACTTGGGATCTTTAATTGCAGTGTTTGAACACTTAGTTGTAGAATATGGGATCTAGTTCCCTGATCAGGGATCCAACTCAGGATTTGGGAGCTAGAGGGTCTTAGCCACTGGACCACCAGGGATGTCCCGACATCACAGGATTTTGTAGCCCACCTTTCCCTCACACCTCTCCCTTTGTCCAGTCCCCCCAGCCCCCTCCTTGAGACAGTTTTGATTATCACAACTGGGAGAGTGGCTGCTGCTGGCTCCAGGTGGGTAGACACAGGACAACCCCCCAACCAATGAATTATCCAGTGCCGAGGTTGAGAAACCCCAGTCTAGGGCAACAGAACCCAGTCTGTGGAGGGGTGAGTAGATCCAGGGATCAAGTCCTGGTGAGGAGGCCATCTGTGGCTCTTGGCTTGGTGGGCAAAGAAAAAGCCATTCCACTCTATTCCAAAGATCCAGAAGTTAGGGTGATGAGGGGCCTTCCAGAACAGGGAGGACATGGTGGGGCTGGGGTAAGGGGACACAAAGCTGGTCACACTGCTATTGTCTGGACTTCTCTCTCCACAGCTGGTCTCAGGGGTGGCATCACTGGAGCCCATTACAGCCCTAACCAGAGACAAATACAGTAGCATTAATTTAATTTTATTTACATTTCAGAGTCATTTAGAGGGAATACATTGAACTGAAGTTGATTGAAAGTGTCCTACAGGATAAGCCCTGAGCTTCCTCAGGCTGCCAGACCTTGATGAATGATGGCAGCAGCTTCTGCCCAGAGCACCGGCCCCCCTGGAAGGCTGGGCCGGAGGCGGGAGCAGGCAGCGAGGGGGCAGCTCCCTCCCTGGAAGCCAGAGGACCCTGTCCCTCCCCCGTTTCTGCCCTCCGCCAGCTCCTTAAGCAGTGTGCCCTTTTTCCTCTCCAGCTCTCCTACGAAGGCCTAGGGTACATTCCTCCCGCAAATCCATCCTTTAATTCAGTTCAACTACAGCACGCGTTAATTGATCTCTGACTCTTGGCTAAATTCTAGGGATCAGAGATGAACAAGCCACCTTGTGGACGCTGGAGTCAGGGCTCAATTTCCAGTTTTATCCACTAAGAGTTTTTTGATCAGGGCAAGTTATTTATCCTCTGTGGGTCTCAGTTTCTTCATCTTTAAAATGAGACTAAAGCAGGAAAAACAAAAGTGCTATTTAAGAGAAAGCCGAGTCTCTTCTACTCCCTGAGTAGGTGGTTCTTTCATTCAGGAAAACACTTTTGGTGAGTCTCCATAGGTGATTTTGGCAGGAAAGAGGGGGTGCTCGGCCTGGCCTGTAGGCTAAGGGGAACTAAACTGTTTTCCATAACAACATGGGGGATGGGGGACAGACAATCACATGATGAAGGGACCGACATGGCCAGTGCATTTCTAGGGCTCATGACACCTACCAAGGAACTTCAGGTTGTTTTCTACCCTGTGTTGTAATTACTCCCAGTTGACTCCAAATCTTCAGTAAAAATCAACATTGTCATGATGTGTTAGCAGCACTTCGAGGGGATGAAGAAAGGCAAGACGGGTGGTGTCCAGTGTGGAGCAGAGTTGCAATAAGACGACAGTGGCCAAGGAGTCCAGGGTCAACATTAAGAGCTCCATGAGAGTAGAAATGGAGGCTGACACCCACGGAGGGTACGCTCTGGGTGATCTTGTTCCAGGAACGCCACTCCTCTACGGTGACAAGTCAGAATGGTGGTTAGGGGGTTTTGTTAGTGGTGCTGTTAGGTTTTGTGGGGGACTGGCTAGGACGGGCCTTCTGGGCTGCCAGAGATGTTGACTTGATCTGGATGGTGGTTATGCCAGGGTATACATGTTTCGGGGAGGGGAATGTCAATCAAACTGGTCATTTAGGGTTTGTGTACTTTTTTGTATGTGTAGTATACCTCAATAACAATAAACAAACACTAGAGAACCACCAGACTAACAGGTTACAGAGTTGTGCAATCCTCAACACAACCTTTCTGCCCATTTGCTTTCATTCCTACCCAGCCTCTGGCAACCACAAATCTACTTTCTTCCTCTATGGATTTGCCTTTTCTGGGAGTTTCATATTGATGGAATCATACATATGTAGACGTCTGCATTTCTCCCTGAGCATGTTTTGGACATTCACCCACGTTGTAGCAGGTACCAGTGCCTTTTTTCCTTTTGCTGCTGAATCATATTCTAATAGACAGATATATCATTAACCAATTAATGAATATTTGGGTTATTTCCACTTTTTGGCTACTGTTTGGCTATTTGAATATTTTTCTACAAGTCTGTGCAGACATATCTTTTCATTTTCTTGATGGGTAGATTCTAGGAGTAGAATTGCTGAGTTGTATAGTAAACAAATGTTTAGCCTATTAAGAAACTGCCAAACTCTTTTGCAAAGTGGCTGACCCTCTCTACCTTCCTTTTAGCAATATGTGAGCGTTCCAATTTTTCTGCATACTCTCCAGGACCTGTTAATATCTGGCTCTTTGCTTATAGGCATTCTAGTGGTTGTGAGTGGTATCTCATTGTCGTTTTTAAATTATTACTACAAAATATTGGCTATATTCCTTGTGCTGTACAGTATATTTTTGCAGCTTATTCACTTTAATTTTTAAATTTTTTATTGCACTACAGTTGAGTCACACTGTCGTGTTAGTTTCTTCTCTACAGCAAAGTGAATCAGTTCAGTTCAGTTCAGTTTAGTTGCTCAGTTGTGTCCGACTCTTTGCGACCCCATGAATCGCAGCACGCCAGGCTTCCCTGTCCATCACCAACTCCTGGAGTTTACTCAAACTCATGCCCATTGAGTCGGTGATGCCATCCAGCCATCTCATCCTCTGTCGTCCCCTTCTCCTCGTGCCCCCAATCCCTCCCAGCATCAGAGTCTTTTCCAATGAGTCATTTCTTCACATCAGGTGGCCAAAGTATTGAAGTTTCAGCTTCAGCATCAGTCCTTCCAATGAACACCCAGGACTGATCTCCTTGAGGATGGACTGGTTGGATCTCCTTGCAGTTCAAGGGACTCTCAAGAGTCTTCTCCAACACCACAGTTCAAACTGGTTATACACAAACACATATCCAATCTTTTTTAGATTTGTATTTTTCTAATGACTAAGATGTATATCTCCACTGGTGAAATGTCTACTCAAATCCTTTGTCCGTTTTTAAATTGGATTGTTCGTATTTTTATTATTGAGTTTCAAGTATTCTTTATAGATTCTAGATTCCAGCCCTTTATCAAATATATGATTTGCAAATATTTTCTCCCAGTCAATGGCTTGTCTTCATGTTTCTGATGGTATCTATTTTTTAAAGGGTTTTTTGACATGGACCATTTTAAAACTCTTTATTGAAATTGATAACAGTATTGCTTATGTTTTATGTTTTGGTTTTTGGCCACAAGGCATGTGGGATCTTAGCTCCCTAACCAGAGATCGAACCCACACCCACTGCATTGGAAGGCGAAACCTCAACCATTGGACTGCCAGGGAAGTCACTGATGGTACCTTTTAAAGCACACGTTTTTCTGGACTTCTCTTAAATGAAGGTGAAGTAAATCGCTGTCGTGTTTAAGACTATTATTTGGGTTTTACGTTATAAGCAGAAAAATAATGCAGGCCTGTTTCTCTTCTCCAGGTAGCATGTCCCATAGGCCACGCAGTGTGTGGAGTCTGCCTCAGGAGCATGAAAGAGAAAGTGCAGACTTCCAAGTGGGGCCCTGGGCAGGAAGCCTCTTGGGGGAGCTGGCAGTTGAGTTAGCGGATGAGTCAGAAAGTTCTTGCTTAGATACCTCACCTGTCAGCTGTGTCTTCAGAGGGTTCATGCGCTCTCAGTCTGGCCAAACTTGGTTCCTTCATCAGTTTATTGTCTTTGTTTACTTACTTGGCGGCAGTGGGTCTCAGAATGTGGGATCTAGTTCCATGACCAAGGACTGAACCCGGGCCCCCTGCACTGGGAATGCGGGATCGTAGCCACTGGACTACCAGGGAAGTCTTCCTTCACCAGTTTTTAGGACAAATTTTACCCATCTCTGTATTTTGTGGAAAAAATTAGAGAGGTAGACTCCAAACACTTTCCTAGAGGAAGAACTCACAGCACACAGTTTCATAAGCTTCCATTAAATCAGGTAGTTTTCCCCCAAATTTCCTCTCTGGCCAGGCTCCTAAGCTAGAAACCTCTCCCTGATGCTCTAAGCCAGGATCCTTTTCCTGGGTCTGTTTCCTAGAATCTCTGCAGCAGGATTTTCACTGCACAGCGGATCAGTTTGCCCCGGCTGCCACCGCTGATCTGACTTCTTCCCTCCCATCACAGGCCAGGTCCTAACTCATGGATGATACATCACTCTGTTCTGGCTTCAGATACCCAGAGTGAATGTGAGGCATCTCCCACCTGCCAGACCTCCTGATATTTGAGGGAGCTCTCAGATTCCAGAGCGTCTTTTCTTCCACCTTTGAAACACACCTTTGCGGAATGCCTGCCAGGCACCGTGTTCTGTGCCAGTGTTTTAACCATATCACATCATTTAATACTCATAGCAGTGAGTGACCCATTGCACAGGGGAGGTAACCAACTCCCAGAGGATGAACAGCTCTATCTAGTTCTCTGGGCAGCAGAGGATACAGGCAGGACGTCCACCTAAGTCTGTTGAGCCACAATCTTCTCTTGGCCACTACGTAACAACCACCTTTGAAAGTTTCTGTTGTGTCCTGGTCTATAGACTCAGAACTATCACTAATTCTAGATCCTTATCGTGCCTTTTTGCCAGCACCCTGGAGCACTCAGCTTGGAGTCCATTAACCTTAACTCCCCCTCCCCATTCCATAGCCTAGGGGCTTCCTGAGGCCCCCATCCCAAGGGCAGGTTTTGGGGTGCTTTCTTTCTCTGAATCTCTCAAAAGCCCTGGAAATATTTTTTTTTCCATTTTGAAAATTTTTTAGGTGCAACATTCAAACAGAAAAGTGCACAAATCATACATATGTAATTAACGAATCTGAACAAACTGAATGCATCCGTGTAACCAGTACCCAAGTCAAGAAATATTATATTATCTATTCCTAGCCCCTTTAGTGCCTCCTTCCAATAATCCCCTGCCCTCTGCAAGAGTAACCATTCTCCTAACCCCATACAGCATAGATCAGTTATGTCTGATTTTGAGCTTTACATTAATGGAATTGTGCATTTTGGAGTCAAGTATTGCATCTGACTCCTTTTGCTCAGCATTAATTTAATATGAATGGTTCCTGTTGTCATGTGTAGCAGTAATTTGTTCATTCTCATCCTGAGAAGATTGGGAGGAGATGGAAACTAGTTATCATGCACTGTGGAATCAGGGTCATGGTCTCAAATCCTGAAAGTGAAAGTGAAAGTCGCTCAGTCATGTCCGACTCTTTGCGACCCCCATGGACTATACAGTCCATGAATTCTCCAGGTCAGAACACTGGAGTGTGTAGTCTTTCTCTTCTCCAGGGGATCTTCTCAACCCAGGGATCGAACCCAGGTCTCCCACATTGCAGGTGGATTCTTTACCAGCTGAGCCACAAGGGAAGCCCAAGAATACTGGAGTGGGTAGCCTATCCCTTCTCCAGTGCATCTTCCCCACCTAGGAATCAAACTGGGGTCCTGAATTGCAGGTGGATTCTTTACCAACTGAGCTATGAGGGAAGCCCTTAAATCTTGAATCTACCACTTAAAAATTAAGTCTTTGGACAGCTAATTTAGCCCCCAAAACTTCAGTCTCCTCATCTGCAGGATGAAGAAAATAAAATTTCTCTTGCATGGTAGCTTTAAGGTTTATATTTACCACAATAACCAAGGTACATAAAGCACCTTCCAGAGTTATTAGTAGGTGGAAATTATCCAAAAAAAACATGATCACATTACTATTCACCAATGACTTATTTGCTAAATGAACTCTGAGAAGGAAATAGAACTG